TTCTTCTGCTAGTTGGGGTTTAGTCCACTTCTGTATCCTTCCCTTCAAGGCTCAGGGGTCCAGGATTATCTTCTGTGTCAGTGTTAATTGGTTTCCCTTTTCTTTGTTGAAGAGGGTCTGTGCAGTCTTTCTGCCTAGTCCGCCATCTTGCCGGAACTCCTTGAGTTGCAATATTGAAGGATTTTATGGGCAGCATTTTGAATGATGCAGAAGGCAAAAAAGAAAATGGAAGGAATACCCAGTGTCACTGTACCAAAAAGAATTGGTTGACGTTCAGCCATTTCAGAGATAGCAAATGATCAAGAACCGATGGTATTAAAGAAGAAGTCCAAACTGCACTGAAGGCATTGTCAAAAAACAAGCCTCTAGGAATTGACAGAATACCCATTGAGATGTTTCAACAAATGGATGCAACCCTGGAGTGCTTACTGGGTTTTGCCAAGAAATTTGGAAGACAGCTTCCTGGCCACCCCACTAGAAGAGATCCATATCTGTACCCATTCCAAAGAAAGTTGATTATCGAGTGGAATTTATCAGAATGTGGAAATTATTGAGCAATATCATTAATATCACATGCAAGTAAAATTTTGCTGAAAACAATTTAAAAACTATGTACTGGCAGAAATTCATGCCAGATTCAGAAGAAGACATAGAACATGGATTATAATTCCTTATATTAGATAGATCTTGGCTGAAAACAAAGAATACCAGAAAGATGTTTACTTGTGTTTTATTGACTATGCAAAGGGATTTAATTGTGTGGATCATAACAAATTATACATAACATTATGAAGAATAGGAATCCCAGAACATTTAATTGTGCTCATAAACAGAAATGACAGTTTAAAATCAAGAAGGGTGTGCATCAGGGTTTTATCCATTCACCATACTTACTCAGTCTATATGTAGAGTATATAATCTGAGGAACTGGACTATATGAAGCACACAGCATCAGAATTGGAGGATGACTCATTAACAACCTATGATAGATGCAGATGGCACAAATTTGCTTGCTGAAATGAAGACTTGAAGCACTTACTCATGAAGATCAGTGACTACATATTGAATGGATTATACCTCAGTGTAAAAAAAACAGATCCTCACAACTAGACCAGTAAGCAACATCATGATAAATGGAGAAAAGATTGAAGTTATCAAGGATTTCATTGTACTTGGATCCACAGTCAACACCACTTGAAGCTGCAGTCAGGAAATCAAAGGGCATTTTACGATAGTGTTCATACAATATTTGTCCTTTTGTAGTTGACTATCTTCACTCAGCATAATGTCCTTTAAGTTCATTTATGTTATGAGATGTTTTGCAGGTTCATCATTGTTCTTTAATGTTGCATAGTAATCCATTGTGTGTATGTACAATAGTTTGTTGGTCCATTCCGCCATTGATGGGCATTTAGTTTGTCTTCATCTTTTTGCCATTGTGAATAGTGCTGTGATGAACATACGTGTGCATATATCTATTGTATCATGGCTCTTATTTCTGTGTTGTTGTTATGTGCTGTCGAGTCAGACCCGCCTAATAGCAACCCCTCCTTGGGTTTCCTAGGCAGTATCACTACGGAAGTAGATTGCCCCATCTTCTGTCCGAGGAGTAGCTGGTGGGTTTGAACCGTCAGCCTTCTGGTTAGCAGTCAAGTGCCTTAGGCACTATGCTACCAGAGCTCCCCTTATAAAAAGTCAAGAAAAATGTTTCACAAAAAAGAAGAAATATTTTTTGATGGTTACCATAGGTGGATGGAGAAGGGAGGATAAATTGCTAACTAGAGAGTAAACACATATTAATTTGGGTGAAGAAGGAAAAAGAAAAATTAAAAAAGACATTGCATTGGGCAGATGCGCTGCAACAGACCTCTTTAAAGTGTTAGAGAGCAAAGATGTTGCTTTGAAGCCTAAGATGCGCCTGACCCAAGCCATTGTCTTTTCAATAGGCTCATATGCATGTGAAATCTAGACAGTGAATAAAGAAGACCAAAGAAGAATTGGTGCATTTGAGTTACAGTATTGGCAAGGATTATTGAATATATCATGAATTGCCAGAAGAATGAACGAATCTATCTGGGAAGAAGTAGAGCCAGAATGCTCCTTAAAAGCAAAAATGGCCAGATTTCGTCTCTCGTACTTTGGTCATGTTTTCAGGAGAGAAGTGTCCTTGGATGAAGGATATCATGCTTGGTAAAGCAGAGGGTCACTGAAGAAGGGGAAGACCAAGACCCTCAACAAGATGGATTGACACAGTGGCTGCAGTAGTGGGCTGAGGCATAGTAGCAATTGTGAGGATAGCACAGGCAGTGTTTCAAACATTGTTGTACAGAGGGTCGCTGTGAGTCAAAACTGACTTGATGGCACCTAACAATGACAACATACATTCTAGAAATACTAGTTTTTGTTTCATTGCTTGAAGGCAGAAATTATAGCTTACATTTTTTTGTATTTGTCATAGTGTGAATACATGTGTTGCTTATTCTCAACAGTAGTTATTCATAATACGCAGTAGCAAAAGAAGAAAGGAAATGTAATTTAAAAAGTATTAGACTGGAAAGTCAAGAGTCCTTGAGCTCATGTTCCAAATTGGCTTTTAACCGTCAGTACAACCCTTGATAAGTCTTTTGACCTCTGGTTCTTGGTTTCCTCATTTTTGAGTTGTCTATAGAATACTTCATGGTAATTTCCTAATATACAAGTTTTCTTTTCTAGTTAACTTATTTAAGTAGAAGTTATCATATGCCAAAAATAATTAATATTTTCAGTTACTCTGTATGATTTGTTATTGAGTTAATTACTTTTGTTTTAGATTTATAACTATTTGTTTTTCTTACCAGGTTTAATTATCGTTTAAACTGCATCAATGGAGCACATACAAGGGGCCTGGAAGACGATCAGCAATGGTTTTGGATTCAAAGACACGGTGTTTGATGGCTCCAGCTGCATGTCCCCTACAATAGTTCAGCAGTTTGGCTATCAGCGTCGGGCATCAGATGATGGCAAACTCACAGATTCTTCTAAGACGAGTAACACTATCCGAGTTTTCTTGCCAAACAAGCAAAGAACAGTGGTATGTAAATACTGCCTTTTAGAATATTTAGCTATCTACCTGCCTATAGAAAACATTATGGACCGTGTTGCTCAACTTACAGACAAGCAAAATCTTCATTGCCATTGAGGGTCTTTATTAATTGGCTTTCCAGTTGTGAAATACACAAAACTAAAGTGACATGGGTCAATGCATTTTTTTTTTCTTTTTTTTTTTGCAGTGTTCCCTCCCCACCTCTCCCCTCCCACTGCTGGTAACCAATAAAGTAAGTTTCCCTCCATATATAAACCTTTCCTTGATCCTCCACAACAACGAACTAATATATATTTGTCCTTCTGTGATTGACTTACTTCACTCAGCATACAACAACAACAGTGTCCTCCAAGTTCATCCATATTATGCAGTGTTTTGCAGACTCCACATTATTCTTTAGTGCTGCATAGCATTCCATTATGTGTATGTACCATAGTTTGGTCATCCACTCTTCTACTATAAATCTTAGTGATAAGTCCCTTGCCAGATACGTAATTACTGGCAAATATGAATTTGTTGCTGTCATTTTTGTTATATGCTTTTTCAGGGTGTCGATTTATTTGTTCCATATAATTTTCTATGCTGAGCTCGTTTTGCTTATGAATCATGTTATTACTTCCTTCATTGGTATTTTAGTATTTGCTGAACATTTATGCTAGTCCTCTTTTTTGATGTGAAGGTTTATCATTGTTCTTTGAGGTTACCCTGTGATTTATAGTTTTCTTCTCAAGTTTAGAACAGTCCATTCCCTCTTGACTTCCCTACCATCTAGAAGTTATGTAACGACACAGTTTTTTCCCTCTTTTTGTTTTGTAGTTGTCCTCATTTGTCAATTGATGTCTTTGGTTCCCTGTTTACAATCTTGTAGGCTTATTTCCTTCGGATACTTCCATAGCTGGGTTGGTTTCTGGGTTATATCATCATGTGTGTTAATGGTCAGTTGTTGTTGACTGTTGTCGCTTCTCTGTCCAAAGGGCTCCCTTTTGCATCACTTATAAGGTTGGTCTGGTTTTAACAAATTCTCTTAATTTCTGCTTATCTGGAAATGTCCTAATTTCATCATCATATTTGAGGGACAATTTTGCTGGGTACATAATTCTTGGGTGGTAATTTTTCTCTTTCACGGTTTTATATATACCGTCCCGTTGTGTTCTCACCTGGATGGTTTCTGCCAAGAATCCGAGCTTAGTTTTATTGGTTGCCCCTTGTAGGTAATTTTTTGTTTTTCCCATGCTGCTTTCATGTTACTTTCTTTGTCTTTGATTTTGGTGAGTTCGATGATGATATGTCTTGATGATTTTATTTTGGGGTCTATCCTATTTGGGGTTTGTTGGACTTCCTGAATGGATATATTCTCATCTTTCATCATACCAGGAAAATTCTCTTCCAACAAATCTTTGACAGTTTTCTCTGTGGTTTTATTTGTCTCTTCCTGTTCTGGAATTCCTATTACACGTAGGTTATTCCTTTTGATGGTATATACATGAACCTTAGGCTTTCTTCATTTTGTTTGGATCTTTTTTCTGATTGATCCCTTTCCGAAGAAGTGTTCAGGAATTTGCCTTCAATCTCCCTACTTAGTCTTCTGTTGATTAAATTCTGTTCCTTTGCCCATTCAATGTCTTATCTATTTGTGAAAATTTAGTATTAATCTTCTGGATTTCTGTCTGTAGATTTTTTATCATTTTCTAATTTTCCATTTATTTTGTCATTTTGTTTTTGTATTGTCTTTCGAAATTGTTCTAGGGTTTTCTCTGTGTTTTCCTTGATCTGTCTCTCAATTTGTTGAAGATACCTAAATATAATTCTTTTGAACTCCCTATCAGGGAGTTCCAATGCTGTGTCTTCCTCAGGGGTGTGTTTTGGGCCTGTAACTTGGTCCCTTGTTTCTCCTGCTTTATCTTGCTTCTTTGTATGGACTGTGATGCTCTGTTATCTCTGAGGCATTGTGACGTTTTTGTGTTTTTATTTAATTGGTGATTGTATGTTGGAGTGACTTGCCCATGATTTTCGTTTTGTTTGTATGTTATCTACACAAGCAGGGTACTGTGCTCCTCTATTTGTTAGTTGACAGCACTTATATACTCACCCCCTGTCTCCTTTCCTGTTGTCAGCTTCTTGTATGACCCTGGTGACCTTGGCAAATAGACCCTATTCTTAGGTCCCTGGAATCTGAATGAGAGTGCTGTCACTTTAAAATCCGAAATGGTTGCCACTTGTAAAGATTCAAAATGGCTGCACCCTCGGTTATTTTAAATATCCAGAATGGTCACTGCTTATAAAGATTCAAAATGGCTGCGCCCTCGGTCACTTTAAATATCCAAAATGGCCACAACTTGTAAACATTCAAAATGGCTGTGCCCTGGGTCACTTTAAATATCCAAAATGGCTGCTACTAGTAAACAATTAAAATGGCTCTGCCCTCCGGATAGCGGAAAGTTAACAGCTCATGTTGTCTCCCTCCTTGATGTTTCCCTTTCTAGTCATAGGCCACAAGTATACTTGTCCCTCCAACCCTTGGTAATCAGGGCTGATATTTAGGTCAATTCTCAGGTTCCAAGACCACTTGGAAATATCAGGCTGTTGGCCCTGTCAGAGTAGATGACAGTCTGCAGCTCTGACCGTCTCTGTACTCACTGTTTTTGGTCAGATTTTTCCACTAGTTGGTGCCTAATCCACTTCTGTATAGTTCCTTTCAAAGCTCAGGGCTCTAGGATTATCTTCTGTATCTCTGTCAATTGGTTTTTCTTTTCTTTGTTGAAGAGGGTCTGTGTAAGTTGTCTGCCTATTCCTCCATCTTACTGGAAGTCCACTTTGTATGTTATTGTGTTCCTTCCACATCTTTTCCCCATTTACTAGTGCTTTTGCCTAGAATATCTTCCTTTCTCCCACTTTTTTTTTTAAAAAAAGTTCATTCTTGGTGTGTAAGTGTATGTTGTATATCAAAGACTTTTCTTTGAAAAGCTCCATTGTATATTTTGGGGAGTGGGAAAAGAAGATACTATTCTCAGTATTATTTTGGTATATTATATAGGTCAGAGCAAGGCAGGAATGGAAGTAGCTTAGAAATCATGTTTTCTTCTTCTCCATGACATTTCTACCAGGTAGTTAGTTCAGAATAGTCTGTTTTTGGTGTACCAGTGACAGGTTTATGTTGGCATCAAAGTAGGACCCAGCTACAGGGTTTTCTGACACAAAATTCCAAATTTTCTAAGAACTTACAGCTCAACAAAAAGTTTTCTACTGTCCTGGGGAACAGGGAGGGACCTACTTGGCTGAAACAGAAATGTTAAATTGTATTGACTTTGCTTGCTTGAACATGTGAGAAAAGTTTAGCTCAAAACTTCTGTGCCTCATTCTGCCTCCACCCCCCATACTTTGTGTAAAATTAATGCATTATGTTTATACTGTATACTCAGGTGAAGCATATCCTAGGTTAGGAAGTCTAGTCCCAGAGTTTTCTCAGTTTGCTTCCAATGGTTCTACTTTCTCCCATTTGCTAATAATAAATTCCTTTGTATTTCTTTTATGAACCTAGTGGGCCTCCCAGTTATAGTATTGGATATTTAGGTTCATTTTGAACTGAAGGTGAAACTGAAAAAGCCAATTAAAGTTTGAGTAAGTCTATTTTAGGAAGTCCCTGGATGACACAGACTGTTAGGTACTTGACTGCTAGCCAAAAGGTTGGTGGTTCACAACCACTCAGAGATGCTTTATTTTTTTAAAATTGTGATTTGGGTGAAAGTTTACAGAGCAAATTCATTTTTCATACAGTAGTTCATATACAGTTTGTTTCATGACATTGATTACCCAGAGGTGCTTTGGAAGACAGGCCTGGTGATCTGCTTCCAAAAGATCAGCCTTGAAAACTCTGTGGAGCAATTCTGCTCTGCACACGTGGGGTTACTATGAGTTGCAGTTGACATGATGGCAACTAACAACAAATTTGTTTTTGTTCCTCTTCCTAAAAATGAAAGTTTAGTAGTTGGCAAAATAATTAGTAATAATACCCTGTATATGAATAATTGTCTCTAGTTTACAAAGTTTGTCAATTTTATTCTTAATTTGGGAGCCCAGGTAGAAAGTGGGAATGTGATGGCAAGCCAAAGACCATCTGGTCTTCTGGGTGTTACAGTGGCTTTCATGATGACTGTTGCTGAGGTTATATGAAAGGGTTGTTTTCTTCTCTGTCAAAAGAGGTTTTTCCCCATCTCCGTCTACTCCCCATTTGCCTGGAAGTTGGAGAACTTGGTTTGACATAATGATGTAAGTTCATGAATTTTCAAGACAACCTCACCCAAATTTAAATCCTTGTATTACCTGTTAACTGTATCATCTAGTCAAGTTGTGTAATATTTTGGACCTCTTTTTCCTGACCTTTATAAAGTGAATCTTGTGCTTAGTGTAATGACTGACTCATAAGTAGAATAGTAGTAAGGTTATTTATTTATTTTATTGTGATTTGAGTGAGATTTACAGAGCAAATTCACTTTCCATACATCAGTTCACATATGCTTTGTCTCATGTCATTGACCACAGTTTACCACAATGCAACAGCTCCCCTCCCACTTCCTCCCCATAGTTACCTCTTCCCAGAGTCCATCCCTTCATACAATCCTGCCCCCCTGAGCTGTCTCCCTGTGCGTAAGTAGCCCTTCTTTCTCCCATGATTGTTTTCTCCAAGGAGTATATCGACTTGAGGTAAATGTTCAACTCATATGCCTGTCTTTTGTTTGGCTGGAAACCACAGGTGTAGGTTCAGTTCCAGACCTGAAGGGCAGCTAGGGGCCATAGTCTCAGTGGTTCCACCAGGCTCTATTGAACCAGCAAACCTGGTCCCCAAATAAGGTTATTTTTGAGGAGATTTTGCTACACTTGCCAAATAGGTCTTTGGAAACAGTGATTTGGAAACTTTACTTCTACAGTTTATGAGGAGGTTCTAACAGATAAGCTTAGTTTTTGCTATTTTTTTGCTATTTCTTCCAAGA